CTGCCCCACCCCCCGCTTAAACCCCCTTTCACTGCGCCTGGTATTTAATACAATTTAAATCCTTCTTGTGGACGCCGCAGCCTGCACGGCCTTGCTGATGCTGAGTTGTTATATACGCTTGCTGCACTGTGACAGTATTATATAAAAAGCTTTGTATTATTAATTACACTATTTTTGTTTGTTTGTTTGTTTGTCTGTTTACATTACGAGCAAATGACATATCGAGAGAGAGCTTCCTGCAATATACCTGGGGGAGGGAGGGGAAAGTATGCCAAAGAAATGTCTTTAAAGGGGTCTTCTTTTTTGCATTTTTATATAAATAGAATGTTTCTAGCAGATATGTTTTGTTTAATATATTAAAGATTCGCCAATCTGCCAAGATCCACTGTGATTTCTCAGGGGCTTTGGGTTCCAATGCAAGGGGGCAGTGCTGTGTGGAGGGAGCAGCACCCAAACCTCTGTCTTTCCCCCAATTTCCAGCAGTTTCACATCCTTTATTTAACCAAGGATGGGGCAGTTTTCTCTCAGCATGTTACGGTGTCTCCTTGACCCTCCCAAACCCATTCTGCTGAAGGAGGTGAAGCACGAGAAGGTGAGGCCACCCCAGAAACATTACGGAAAAGCAGCACCAGTGAAGGTGCTGGAGACCTTCCCCTGGGCATCCCCCCGGGGTACGTCCACCAGAATCACTCATGTCCTGCCCCACAGGCCTGGGAGGCACCAAAACCCCTTTTACCAGAGGCTGGAGTGAGAGAGAGAGTCCAGAAACCCATCCTGGCCCCTGTGCTTCCATTTATTTCTAACCCCCCCTGGGGTACGTCCACCAGAATCCCTCGTGTCCTGCCCCACAGGCCTGGGAGGCACCAAAACCCCTTTTACCAGAGGCTGGAGTGAGAGAGAGAGTCCAGAAACCCATCCTGGCCCCTGTGCTTCCATTTATTTCTAACAGAAACACAACATAACCAGGAGGACTTACTCTATAAAAAGTCCCATTTTGGTCCAGACTATGAAAGGGGACGCAGCCCCCTCCTTCCCCACAACCCCGCTCCCTTGGGGGAGTGTCCCTGCAGTGTGGGATGGCTCTGTCACCTCGGGTTTCTCCCTTTTGGTCCCACAGTGTCTCTGGCAGCACTGTCCTCCAGACGAGCATCTTCATGGCCAGGCCTTGGCCTTGCTGATGGCTTGGATCTCCTCGGGGCCCCGCAGGTACTGCTCGATCTCGCTGTCGGAGATGGGCTCGTCCCCGGTGACGGCGGAGTCCGAAGGGCTCGGGGCTGCCGTCCGCAGTCTCTTCCTGGGGTTGATGAGGCAGGGGGGCAGCAAGGGCCTCGGGCCACCCTCACGCTGCCGTTTCCCTCCCGAGGGACACCCCTTCTCCTGCGCCGCCCCTCCTGCTGCCGGAGGAGAGTCAGGGGACCCCTCCCCCGGGGCCGCAGCACCCTCTTCCTCCCCGTCCTGCAGGCTGAAGGCGTTTTTCAGCAGGAAAATCCGGTGTTGCAGCAAGTCCCCCATGTGTTTGACCACAGTTTTCTTGTCCAGCTTAAACACCCTCAGCCAGGCGAGCTGGGAGGCCATTCTCAGGAGGATCTCGAGAAGTTCCTTCAGCCTGAGGTGTGCTGGTGGTGGCAGGTCCACACCCGCCAGCTTGCAGAACCTCCCCAGGGAGCAGGCGAGGCGGGCGCCGGGCTGCAGCGACTGCCACGACAGGAACGCCGCCGCCGTGACGATGGGGACGGGGTGCCGGCCCGTCACCAGCCACGTCTCGCTGGCCAACTCCACCACCTGCATCGTCCGGGCCACCACCTTCTCCTTGTCCTCCACAAATTGGGCAGGGACGTCGGCCGCGCGCTGGAACAGCCGGAAGCTGGAATAGAGAAGAGCCCATGGTTGAGAGAGGGGAGTTCTCACCAGGCAGGAATCCAGCTCGATGCAGGAGGTGGCTGCAGGAAGGTCCTTTAGGACAACACACCCTGCTTCTGCTTAGGAGGCTAAGTGCTTCACTGCGCTCTCCAAACTGAGGAGAAAAGGGCAGGAAGAGAAGAATCACAGCCCAAACTGTGATGAGGGAGGTAAAAAAGGTCTGTAAAAGCACAGGGTGGGCCCTTCACCCCAACCCACCAGCGAGCACCGATCCTGCCCACGACCACCTCCTGGCCACCCTCACACCACCATTGCTGGCTGGAGCAACAAGTGGATGAAGTTTATCATTCAAGGGACAACAAGAATGCACTCCCAGATCAGGAATTTTAGAAGCTGCTGCACCAGTACCACTCCCCATCCCAGTAGATCTGGGGCTGTGAGCCCACCGAGGGGATACTTTTCCAGAAGATCTGGTTTTCCCTCAGCGCACTCGGCAACTCGTTTGCTGGTGTAACAGCAGAGCTCACCCTGTGTGTGCTCGTGGGACCTCTGCCCTGCCCACAGCTGTGCTTCAGAAGCCTTTCCACCCCTGCTGTCAAAAGGCAGGACTCTGAAATGCCCCAAAGGGGTCCCTTTACCTGTTCAGGTGGGTCTTCACCAGCTCAGCCAGGCTCAGGGCCGGCACAGAGAGCTCCAGCTCCTTCTGCAGGCTCAGGTAGACGCTGGCAAACAGCTCCTGCTTGGCGTACAGGAGGGAGCAGATCGTCCCCATCGTCACGGGCCAGTTGTGCTGCCGACAAGTCACGAAGACGCAGCAGCCCCCCAGCAGCTCCTTCTTCTCCAGACTGACCAGGTGGAAGGAGGGGTGCTGCACGGCCCTCTGGAAGTACGACACCGCCGTTTCCTCAAACACCTTCGGGAGCTGGAGGACTTTACAGAGGTCCTGGACCCGCCTGATCCCTGTGAGAAGAGACTGCCCTTAAAGATGAGCTCGAGCAGCTTCTGATGAGCACTTCTGCTCGACATGGCAGCGCAGCCAGCGTTCCCCCTGCCCCGAGAGCAGCCCAGCTCCTGCAGCCATTGTGCAAAGACCTCCCGAGTCCCTCAGTGCAGGTGAGGCAGCTTGCTGAAGGCAGGCGTTGGCTGGACAGAGAATTAACTGCTGCCTTCATGCTTTACAGCCAGCTCCGAAGGCTTTTGTCATTTTAGAGAGCATTAGAAACATGTAAAACAAACTAGAGAGAAGCAGCAGGAGAGAATAGGGGTGTGAGGGAAGCTCTTACCTCGCTGCAGGGAGCGGCTCAGCTGCTCCTTCTGCCCCGTGCTCTGGGAATAGGCCACCTCTGAAAAACAGTCCGTGTTAGGCCGGGTGGGCTCGCGGGGACTCTGGGGGACCGTGCCATTTCCGTTTTGGGCAACCAGGTGCCCAAATTCCTGATAATTTCAATTATCAGAATTGACAGGTCTCTGAGGGCACTAAACAAGAGGCGGCAGCACAAGTTAAGGGAGGGCGAGGAGCAGGATCCCTTCAGGGCATCACTTGTCAACAAAAAGAACCAGCAAAGGCCTCAGGGCTGCTCCCCTGCTCTTATCACGGAGCCACAGAAGGGCTGGAGGCGGAAGGGACCTCTGGAGATCATCCCACCCACCCCCTGCCAGGGGCTCACCCAGAGCAGGTTGGACACAACGGACAGATCCCTTCCAACTCCGACAGTTCCCCGGTTCCGTGACTCCCCCCACCCTCCCCTCCCGTCCGCACCGGCACCGCGCAGGCTGCGGGGAGCCCAACAGCCCCCGGGCTGGCGAACGGGGCTGCGCGGGGAGCACTTCGCTGCTGGGACCGACTCAGAATGGCCAAAAACAGGTTTTCACCCCAATTTCACCCCAGGCCGCACGCTCTCCCCGCCGAAGCAGACCCCCCCCCCGCTTTCCCCGGGCCCGGCCGCACCTCGCAGGTGCTCCTCCTCGGTGTAGGTAGTGGTGAGGAGCCCCTCGGCCAGGACGCAGCCGCAGGCGGCGCAGACCAGCTGCTGCTGCGCGTAGTGCGCGTCCTCCACCAGCGCGGCCGAGCCGCAGCCGGGGCACCGGCCCCGCGCCGCCATTGCCGCCGCCAACCGCCCCGGGGAGGGGAGAGGGGGACGGACCGCGAGGGGCGGGCGCACACCGCCGCCCACCAATGGCGGCGCCGCTTGGGGAAGGGAGCACCGCCTCTCACCAATGGCGACGCCCGGAGCCGCAACGCCCACCAACCGCGGCACCGCCCACGGTGCTGCCCGCCCGCGGTCCGGCTGGGTCGCCGCACCCCCGAACGCTGCGTTCCGGGGGCCTCGAGTTCCGGGCTGCGTCGAGGCGCCAGCAGGGAGTGCTGCGAGCTCTGCGTATAAATAATCATCTCAGTAATTAGCGATGGTTTGGGCTGCGACTTCCCCTTTTAAGGCTAAAAAGAGCAGTCCCAGTGAGAGACACCAGAAAGGAGGAGGGAGCCAGGAGTCCTCTGCCAGCACAGAGCTGAACTGAAGGCCTGACACCCGGTGACACGCATTTATAAGAAATAAAAAACATTGTATTGCTGCAAAGAGCTTCTTAATGAGAAGCTGCTGATCTGTAAAACTCTTAATTGGCTCCTCAGCGGCCTCCTGCAAAACCTGACAGGGCCTATAATGAATGTAATTGAAAAAGGGGCCTTGCCCCTCTGAGCTGGAAAGGCAGAGCCCTTTTCATCTCCTGGAATTGCCTCCACAAAGCGTCACCTCCGATGGGAGGGGAACGGCTCCTGGACCCAGCAGCACAACCTCCCGCAGGGATCACCTCCAGGAAGAGTTTCAGGCAGCACAACCTGCAGAGAAACATTCCCATTCCTGCCTCTGGGCAGTCCCAGCTCCTGAAAGCCTTTGGCTGCAAAACCAGAGGAGGATGAAAAGGCGAAAACGCAAACTAAACTGAGAGATTGCAGAGTTAGTGGTCACAGAAAAATACTAAACTTGGTGCAAAAGCAGCTCCCCCTGCCTTTCTCTCAGTCTTTAGGAGCTGGAAGCTCAGAACAGAGCCCTGCTGTTGCAGAGTGTGTACCAGCCAGGCTTTGTTTTCTAAACATTTCACCCTACACAAACAACCTAAAGCTAAATTTGTGTAGCTCTTCAAGAAAGAGACAGGTTGAAGAAGAATCCTCAACAAGAAAAGGACAGAAAGCTTCCACAACTCTACCCTGCTGCAGATCATGCAGAGCTGTGGCTGCCCCCACAAGACTGCGCCGTAATATTTTAGGAGGTTTTCAGTTCTCTGTGAGAGTCTGCAGCCATTACCCAAATCCCAGCCCTTCCACAGGCTGTTTATAACTCGATTTTTTCTCAACAGAGGACAGGCACCAAGGGGACAACGCTCTCCCTCGCTCCACACTCGTGGAAACCTTCTCCTGGGGAGACCCAGCAGCCGCAGCTCATTGTCCCCATCACGTCCTGAAATGTTGGGGGGCTCCAGGCGACCCCCCAACCCCTTCCCTCCCCAGAGGCGGCGGCAGGCGAGGACAGCACTCAGGGTTTCAGGCTAAAATGGCCCTGAGACAGCAGGAGGTTGATTTCCTCTCTTGTCACCGGCTGCCCACAATCTGAGGGTCATTACAATCAGGGGCCGGGGCAATTGTGCTGGCTCCTGGCCAACAAACCTTTCACACATTTTTTTTATTCTTTTTTTTATTTTTTTTTTCCCCTTTACAGAAACTCTCGATTCTCGTGATGCGGATGAGCTCGTCTATCAGGTTTCCCCACCCTGAGAGGTATTTACCATGAACTTCCTGCACCGAGAGCTGGCAGGGATGGAACTAGCCCCAAAATACCTTGAGGATGAGGAGTTTCGGGCAGCAGAACTGGGTGCCAGGAGGGGATGAGGCCCTTTTGAAACCGCTCTTTCAGAAAAAAGATAAAGCGATCAGAACGCCAGATACAAGGTATTTTTATTTTAGTGTTCCAGGAAAAACAAAAGGCATTTAAAAAAGAGTAGGTACCCAGGCTATAAGCAGACAGTACAAATGGGTTAAAATACATTCAGATCCTTCAATAATAAAACAAAACATTTGATTCTTCAGGCCCCTAAAGTCAAGGTGAAGCACTTTGCTGGGCATAAAATGCCAGTCCCCTAATGCCAAGGAAAGGCTTTAACTAGTATTGCTGACACAGGACTGAGGTACAAGGTTTGTGCGATGCTTTGGGGGCTCTGGGAGCGTCACCCCCAGCAGCGCCCGTGCGGCTCCGGCAGAGGCTCAACACCCACAACCACCCCAGAGAACAACCCTGGGGGCAAAATCCAGCCACAACCCAGGCTCCACCTCAACATACAGGGCTGCAACTGGCAAAAAAGGCTGCCAGGAGAGGATATTACACGTTTTAAGGCTTTGTCTCCAAGGAGACCGCATTTTAGCGCTTTGTTTCTGAGTGTGTAACCTCAAGGTGCACATTCCTACCGAGAGGAATCCACGTGACCCAAACTTCATAAAAATCCACGCTCCAAAAGCATCACACGCAGCACCATGGGGCCTTCGGCGGCCACTCCGTGGTGCCCACCTTGACTTTAAAATGAGGTGAGTGAAAAGCAAGAGTCCTGCCTTGCTTCCCACACCTCCCGTTACCACGTCCGATAAACACAGGTTTTGAACCGTTTGGTCACCGCTCGAAGGCACAACAGGTTTTCCTGACTCTCTGACCTAGACCATCAGAAAGCAGCTGTGGAAGAAAGTCCAGTTTAATAAAGACCAGTTCATCAGTGAGGTATAGGCAACCGTTTCTTTCCAGAGAAACACTGAGGCACGAGGAGGAAACAAATTAATCCTTCATCTTCCTCGCTATCTCAAGGCACAAGAAGCAGCAGCAGTTTTCAGGAAGGCCAAGCAGTCCCATGCACGACCCACACCACCAGCCAAGAGCTGGAGACACCACTAAGACCTTCTGCGTTTCAGACCCTTCATTCACAGAAGAGGGTACAGGAGAAAAGAAATAACCCCTTCGCTGAAGACACCTGCTCAAGTGAAAATAAAATTAGAAAAAAAAAAACAAAGTACCCAGAGTCTTTAGGAGACTCTTAATGCTTAAGGCTTGTTTCAACTCCAGCCTCCCGTGAAGGACAGCTCTGTCAGAAAAGCTCCAGACTTTGGTAATTAGTCAGTTTACAGTAATAAAAATGTAACTAACAGCACTTTTTGAATTTTCCAGTAAATGTATACATCTCTAAGTAAATATATTAAACTACTCTTCACTACAAAAATACAGTATTTGAGAAGTCTCCCATAGTTTTCAGTGTTTTATGAAAATAGTAAGCCGACTACTAACAGGCTGATAGTCGATCCAGCTGGTCCAGCCCCTCAATAAAGTGCTTTGCTGCAGAAAAACTGAGTTAGAACCTCACCCCTCTCCAGCTAAACCAGGAGTGACCCAACAAACCCTTCCAGCTTCCGAAGGCAGGAGCATTTGCTTTGCTCCTCTGCTACCCGTCTCGGTATTTCAGCCTTTTATGGACTCTCACAACCCTGATAAGACCCAGAGATGCAAAGAGGAATCTGATTTCTTTGATCTTTGACAAGAGCTCATTCTCAGTCCGTCCTGAGCTGCAGGTCACAGAGAACCACATCAGATTTGAGCAGGAGCTCAAATTCCCCAGGGAAGGCGATCGGGCTCCTCTCGGGGCTGTACAAGGAACATACCAAAGAAAGCATTGTAAGACTCATCACCTTTGAAGGTTGTTCCAAGGCAAGCCCCAGCTCCAAAATCTGAAGTTTTTAAATTTAATAAACTGCAGTGGTGTCAAAGAAAAATAATCACAGCACTCCCATGCAGACATGGGCCACGCACGTGTACCGTAAAATCCACACCCATTTAAGACAACAGAAACCAGGAGTATCTTTGCCTCCCTCATTTGAACGACCTTCAAATCAGCAATTTGGAGTCTACAAGAGAACAGCTTCTGAGTTAAAATGCACCTTGGGCCCAAATTCATTACTACCATTCCTGGGGTAGACAAATGTACCACGACATCTCAGCGTTTCCTGTACCAAAACCACCTGTAAACCCTCCCCGAGGAGAACTTCTTCAAAACAATATGTATTTAATGAGATTAACTAAGCTTTGCTTCTTCCTTTCCAGTCTAAGGTTTAACTTGCATTCAACTTTCTGGGCATTAATTCCTTTTAAAACACAGCTCACACAGCCCTGGTCTGACACACACATCACATCTTTGGACTTCTCCAGTGTAGTTATTCCTATTTTTTTTTTAAAGCAATCAAATCCTCAAGCTCTATTTTATATTGCACTACAACTTAAGATATGGAGAGTAATTGATCTATCAAAGCTGCTACGAAACAAAACCATTAAAATAAAACCTTCATAAAGGATCATCAGTGCCCTGCTGGCAAGCAAAACACATCAAAAACCCGTCATCCTTCCTATCGCATCAACCTTTGGGTTAGATGCCTGAACAAAACTTCCCAAATAATGGAAAGAAACCAAAAAATAAATAGGAGAAGCTGACTCTGCAGACAAGACCCGACGTAACTGCTGATCAAACCAGGAGTTGCTCAAGGCAGAAAGGGGAAAGAGGTCATTTTCTGTGGGCAGCGCAACCGGCACCACCTACTTCACGTCGTCTCCTTATGAATCCAACTCCACTGGCAGGAATTCAGCCCTTCGTTCCACCAGCAGCTCCAGGGCTTTTACATCTTTCCAGCTTTTTTGTTGCCAGAGGTGGAAACGCGGAGGATGTTGGGGGTTTCCTCCATGACTCTGACAAGCAAGTTGTCGATATAGTCCTCTAGCTCCCGCACCTGGAGATCCTTCCTGGTAATTGCATCCTTCTGCTTCAGGACCAGCTGGATCAGCTCGTCGTGGGTTAGCTGGGCATATGCATAGGCAGGATCCGATGGATCGTATTTCTGGGAGAGAGGAGAAAGGCAGGGTCACTACGGACATCGGGGCATTTCAAAACAGCAACAGGACCGTGGCTGGGCTGAGGAATTTCAAGCCCAAAGGAGCAGCTTTACAGACGGCATCTGCACAGCCACAGCTGCTCTGCAGAAGTATTTCTGTGCTTCGTGCCTTTAAAAACATAAGTTCCCTCCCAATGGCATCACTC